ATCCCTTTTCACCTGATGTTCCTCCTTCCAGCATCTTAAATGAAAATGATGAGTACCTACTTAAAATGGCAAAGACTACAGCTGTAGGAGAATGTTTTTGAAATAGCTTCCTGGCTCATTTTCCGGCGGCGGAGCAGCGGGGTTTGGTGTGCGGGGCTGCGGCGCGGGCTGGCTGCTGGCTTTCCCTGCCAGAGCCGAGCGCTGTGAACTCCAGACCCCTGTGCGGGATCAGAAGCTCTTGCTGTGCCAGGGTAATCTTTTAATAGACAGGCTTGCCAGAGTGACTTTTTTTTCTTTCAAAGATAGAATTAGAAAGCGCAGTTGTCATTTAAATTGCCTCTGTCTTTGTAGTCATCGGTAGTGATCTGTTGGCCAGGACTGGATAATTTAAAAGCTGTTTAACAAAATAACATGCTTGTCTGCGTGAAATATATACAGTGCTGGGAGACACGGAGAAAAGTGTCCTTTGACAGAGTTCATGGGATTCTTTAGAAACTGCGGGATGCTGAGGCTTTTCTGTGGAATTATAAAAGCTTTGCAGAGCCCATGTTGAGCATTTGCATGATTTTCAGATGGCGAAGTATGTTCAGCTGTCTCTGTGCTCCCTCCGAGCGCGCATTTACGTCCTTCGCTGGGAGAGGGAGACGATTCTCAGCCCAGTTTTCGGCGGGCTTTGCGTTTGTTGAACGTAGATTATTGAAATGCTGCCCAAGATGCCTCGCTTCATCTTGTGTAGAACTTGAATCGTCGTGTTGCATGATTTGGTAAAATAAAAGAGATTGTGAAAGAGACAACTGTAAACATTCTGTTTGAAAAGATGTGCTCTTTTCAAAAGACCTTTCTGTTAGAGCCAAATAACACAAGAAGCAGTATTTCCTTGCTCGCAGAGACATATATGTTTATTTCTGCAGAGATTTGTTTTGGATTCTCAGTTCTTCCAGTATCTGCATTCTTTGAAATAATTTTATACTTCCATGTTGACTTTCTCTGTGCTTTAAGTTTTAATCAAAGGTTCTTCGCTTCTGATGTCGAGGAGTGCTGATGTTAGCCTGTTTACATTCCACTGTTTTTCCTCTGTATGAGGTTAACATTCAAATGCCGTGGTGCCTTTTTGCTTTTATCTACCAAACTTAGCACAGTCTGTTATTATTGACAGCTCAAAAAGATGGTATGCTAGTGGGCAGGATGCTGTGAATTATTAACTTTTCTTTGCACTTTGACAAATTTAGGTTATCCTTCTAAAGACAAATCGTTTCAATGAAGGAACCAAGACAGTAGCATGGTAAATAAGGAAGGCACTGTGGACTTACATAAAACAATTTTAGCCAAATATATGTCTGAAACGTGGTTCTGAGTTAACTTTTGTTTCATAGGAATTGTATTTTTTCATTTCATGGACTGTAGCATAAGAGAAAAGATTTTTGTTTGTGAAGTTTCATTTAGATATTTTTCTCTGTGTGTTTTTCTACATGAAATGAGCAATAAAGCATTAAAGAATGTGTATTACCACTAAAAATCCCCTCTACCTTTTTTTCTTACAAATGTGATTTCGCAGAAGCAGGTTTTTTTTTTCTTCTCTTTCAATAAAGAGCCTGCACTCATCTAATTTGTGAGCAGATAAAACATGCAGGAAACATATGTTTGCCAGGAAGCTTTTCTATAATCAAAATGGTCAGCAGGACAGAAACTACACTCTCTATCTCATTACGTATAAATCTTGTTCCATTTTTGAAAAAAAACAACCACCCCCCAACACTGATTAATATATACAAACACGAATGAATCAGAGACAGCATATGTTGCATTTGGTAATAGATGCTTACTTGAGTTAATGTTTAGGTTGTGCTGGAAGCCCCAGCGTGGGCACCACGAAGGTCTTTGAGATCGGGAAGCGCTTTGCGTTCTTGGGTGGCAGACAGCAGGAGTCAGCCGTGGCACGGTTTGCCTTGAAGCAATTAACAGGAGGATGAGGAATGTTGATTTCAACTGCAGGAGGAGAGCCAAACAGAATAGATTTACGCAAGGTACAGTAAGGCAAGCAGCAGGCTCAACACAGGTTCTTTAGAAAGTACAGTATTGAAAATATTCATGGGGAATTACGTTGGATATACCGAGTTACCGGTGACAACAGTAATTATTGACAGAGCCGCATACTTACGTCTGAAAAGCTTGGAATGGTGCAGAAGGCGGCGGTAGCATTCAGATGCCAGTCGTTCAAACTTCCATCCTGTGGCAGTGCATCTGTTTATCGGGAATTATCTCCTGAATGTAAATGAATTTCAGTCCTAAGTCATTGCACCTGTTGCCAAGAGGTATTTATTCCAATCACTTGCCTAAAGTGCAGGGAGTTAGTGCTTGATGTTTTATAGCTCAAAAAAAAGCTGTCGTTTCAAAATCATTTGTTCAGAGAGGAGAAAATGGAGCAAAACAGTTCATTTTACCCTAAGCACTGCTATTTGGCAGTATTCACATTTGCACGGCACAAAGCTGCAATATTGATTTTTTGCTCACAAGGCCTCCCACTAGTTCTTTCTTCGATTGTCAGGGTTGCAAGATGGATTGAATTACACTTTGCTTGTTGATAACGCTTGTTTTTTCTCTCTTGATAGGAAAAAATTACAAATAAAGCTTCAGCATAAAGATCACAGCAGCTTTGTTAGTGGACATTAAATTTATTTATTTTAGTTAGTTAAAATTCTTTCTGTACCATAGCAGCTCCTTAGAGCAGTCTCCCTGCCTAACGCGTGCTGCATTGTTTTGCTTTATTATTTGCTGCTTTTGCAATGTAACATCTACATTACAATCTCAGGTGTGTCCTCTGTTGCCTATGAAGTGATCTAACCTTGCTCTAGTATTTTTAATGTTTCTCCTAATACACAAGTTCTCATGGATGCCTGCAGGGGGGAAAACTGCAAGATAAAACACATTTATGGCAGTTGCCATAGATGATGGAATGAGATTTGCAGGCAGTTCATCTCTGTAACAAACTGCAGAGGTCTTGGATTTGAATTCAAGGTGTTTCCCAGCACAAGTGGAGACCGTGCTGCGGGATCTGCAGGAGGGGTTTGGTGCCTGTCACGGGAGGCTCAGCGTGGGTTTGTCAGCCCTGGCTCGGTAACGATCCGTTTGTCTGACCGGCTGCCTGCCTGGCCACCCGCACCTCGGCGCCTGGGCCCTGGGCACCCCTGCCCTTCCCCACCTGCCCTCCTGCAGAAATCCCCTTTGGACTGCTAAAGCCGCTGTTCCCCTCCCCGCTGAACCGTGTGGGAGCGGGGAGGCGGCCAGGCGGAGTGTGGGAGATGCAGGCACCATTGCTGCCGGCTGGAGGGATGAGCGTTACGTGGACAGCGTTAAACGTGACGGGAGCGGTAGGATGTCGGGATGGCAGTCAAAAGCAGCGCAGTACCTGGTCCTCACTGCTGTCATGATGTAATTAATCAAAGGAGCTGCTGTGTGCGTGTGTGGTGGGGGCTTTGTGCATACCCCCCTCTCGGCCCATTTCACGCCCTCACTGAGCCGTGAGCAGCTTCTGTCTTCGTTGTCTTAATTTGCTGCATGGGAGGAACATGTAGGGTGTTAATGTGATGGATTCGTGTTTTAGCTCTTTCCAGCTTTCAGCTCATGATCCTTCAGCAAGCCTCTAATAACAGTGTGTGCTGTTGCACAAGGTACGTGCAGCCCAGCTGACAGCCAGGAGTGGATCTGAGATGGAACCACGGTGCTTTCCACAGCAATATGGCTTCTTCCCATATTAACAAATACTGAAACATAATGGCAGGGTAATGGTACTGCTTTCATGTAGGGTGTGGTTCCACAAAACACAGAGGCAGACCCAGTTGCTGCGCTTGGGCTTTCCCCTTGCCCATGTACCGTGATGAATTCCTGCCCAGCCAAGGAGCTACTCCTCTGAGACCTCACCGGTTCTTCGGCAGCAGGAGGAGGTTAGAGTCAGACCAGCCTCTTGCATTAGTTTGCTGCACAACTCAAACAAAAGCTGGTGCTGATGCAGAGGGGAAGGCAGGGCTGAGATCGGCTCTGGCTGCCAGCGAGCTGCATCTTGACACTGGCGTGATCATTATCAACAGCTCTTTTTTGCATCCTAACAGCTAATCATCTTCGTACAGTAGTTTTAATCCACAGATCATTAATTCAGTAGAAGAAGTGACAGCCTCTGGTTCATATGAAAATTTACTATCAAGGGCTTATCTTGAGTTGGTCTTGATCTTTTCAGATCATTGCTTCCTTGCCTTTTCTAACGCATCATACTTTGTAAGAAAAGTTTATTTTCTTTGCTTTCAAAATGCCATAGAGCTCTGACTTTCTATACTTACTAGCTACTGCTTTTTTGCTGTCACAACTTGTCTCCAGCAGCTTGCGCTGAAATATTAATGGCCTTGTGCTACTGTATTAGGATGACTTTTTTAAAATAAGAAGTACTGGTAATTCTGCTGAAAATCTAGAAGGGATCAACTATTTCAAAGAAATAAGTATTTAACACCACTGTATTAGGATGACTTTTTTAAAATAAGAAATACTGGTAATTCTGCTGAAAATCTAGAAAGGATCAACTATTTCAAAGAAATAGGTATTTAACACTACCATGTTACCCAGGTTGTCTTCCAGAAGCTAGTCAGGCACACATTTGTAAGAAAGGAAAATATTATGTTTCATAATATTCCACTGGTAGCTGCATTCAAGAATGGGAATGGGATCGTACAATGTACACGTGCAGACTTGCACCACTGTCTGCCCTAGCATGGGTTAGAAGAAGTAAAGAGGAATTTCCTCTTTTCCCAGGTTAAGGACACAGCAGTAGTGGTGTAGGGATGTGACAGTTCCGTGAAAGATGCTTCACTTAACGTAGTACCAGGTCGAACTGTTTAAAGGCGCACTTCCTGTAGCACACTGGTGAGAGTTAGTGCCTACGTGACAGAAAAAAGAACAGTCCAATGCAATATATCTTTTAGACTCAATCCTCCTTTTTTCCCCCTCTTTTTTAGGTTTCAGCCGAGCAGCACTACCCTTTGGATTGGTTCGGAGGGAGCTCTCCTGCGAGGGCTACTCCATTGACCTCCGGTGTCCAGGAAGCGATGTTATTATGATAGAAAGTGCTAACTATGGACGGACAGATGACAAGATTTGCGATGCTGACCCTTTCCAGATGGAGAACACAGAATGCTTCCTACCAGATGCCTACAAAATTATGACACAAAGGTAAAAAAGCATATATCATTTCAGGGACAATGGAACCACTCCCTTATTTGGAGATTCCCTTGTGGAGATTTGTGTCCTTGTCTTTCAGATGGTGAGACAGCACTTAAATTGTATCCAAATACATGCTGCATTTCTAAGGAACTTCCATACTCCCTGTTTCCGTAGTTCCCACCTGTAAACTGCATCCAGTGGAAAACACTCGAATCATTAAATGCCGGGATGTTTACAGGTCATGGTACAGAAGCATGTATGCATATAAGCAGAAGTTACATTAGGTTTTGGTGACAGTGATTGTCATTCAGAGAAGACAATCAGTCAGAAAAGCCAGTAAAAGCGGTTTTCGTACAGAAGGTGGAGCAGAACTAATGTTCACAGAGATTCCTGTGCCACAGGCCTCATGCAGGCAGCAGTCACCTGGTACTGACAGTTGTGGAAATGTCACTGGTTGTTACTGAATTAAGCTACAAGCCTGAATGAGTTCAGCATTGGTGGGAAGTTTTCCTTCCGGTGCGTTGTCCCTACAGTGAGGAATCTGAACTGGGAGGTTTCTGGTACACGTGCACAGACGTGTCAAAGGACACGTGTGAGTTGTCCTGCCCACTGTGTTCCGTTAGAACGTGGTAGTGCTCAGCAGCGTATACTCACTTCCTAACAGTAGTCTCCCACGTTGATTTCCAACTTTACTTAAGTTGTTGTGAGTGTGACTTACAAATTTTTATCATTTTCATGTGAATATATCATGTTCTTTACTTCTGTACTCAAATATTTGAGTTAGATCTCGGGCTTCAATTTCAAATGCTGGAATTAAATTAAGGTTATTGGGCCTTTTATTCTTGTTCTGTGTTCAACCTGGGACTTGTTCAGTAAGGGCACGGCTCCATCGCTGCGCTAGTAAAAACGGTAGTATAACTTCTTTAAATCATGTTTGAATTATCTTTTTGTGGTTCTAGTTCATTGTTGTTAATTAGATCAAGCCAGATTTCCATTGAGACTGCAGCAGCAGTGTCATCATCCTCTAATCTGTCAACTCCCTTTGAAACCACCTTCAATTGCTTTTGTAAATGTAGCGCCTCTCTGTAGACTTCCTTGTTGTGTAAAATGCATGTTGTGTTTTGATCAAAGTCCTCCTTATGTTCACTGCAAATATACAGATTACGGTAGTCAGAGACAAATATAGAGGCACAATCTTGCTTAAGGGGACATCAAACTGTTACTGGAAGTCTTTTCAATTAATCAACTCTAAGTTTATGATAGCAGAGAGTATTTCTGAACTTTCCCAATCTTCCACTCTTGCCCGCTTTCTGATAGATTGAAATGAAGTTGTGATCACGTGCATAATGTCGCTTCAGAATGTCTATACTCAGGGAGAGGTTTTTTCACTTTTGTTCTTTCTTTTTGTCTGAACAAATGGCAAAGATCATTTGACACTTGACTTTCTATTTTTGTCTGGCATTTATAATAATTTGGAAGTTTGCTTTCGTAGTTTTCTTTCTCAGATCCTGTCATTAAGTAGAAAAGCTGTCTCTTGCCTTTTTTAATCTTTCCTCAGAATTGCTCAATTTGTGCTATATTGGAAACACAGAAGAACGTTGCAAATTTCTTAAGAAATATCAGGAGTTCTTGTATCTCATTTATTTATAACTGCATTGGTGATCATAATTTTTTGTCATCTAAGGCAAACTGTTGGTTTTTTACTCAGCATATGCCCTTGATCTGTTATCTAAAAGTATCACATCAGCTGTATTTTGATGGCAGCAATTGCATGGACAAATCTTACGTGAAGAACTATCAGATTCAGTGGGTTCCTTTTCTTTCCTATATTGAATAGAAAAAACTAATCTGTTGGAATCTTTGATCGCAGGGAAAACTTTTCTTCCATACCTTTAGAAATAAGCAGCGATAGTTTCTACATTGCTATGTAAAATCTGATCGAGTATTTACTTCTAAAGGACTAATGACATGTTTTTATCACTTCAGCCAGCAGTGTTTTTACCACGACGTTTGACCACTCGATTCAGTTTAGACCCGCAGTTAAATGTAGTTCCACGGCAATTATTAAGGACTCATCATTCATTTGCAACATTACTGCACAGCTTTTGCACAGCAGCTGTATTTGCTGCAGCTACCGTGCGAAAACACTAGCTTAATGAGATCGATGCTGTGAAATCTGAAGACTGAAAAATAAGATGAGGTTTCCAGTTTAACACAAAACCGTGTAATCATGTGCCCTGCTCCCCTTCCAGAGAATTTGAGATACTAGCACACAAACTTTGCCAGCATCCACTGGTGATGCATCAGCTCCTCTTGCTCGGAACAAGCTGCTCCTTTATCTTTTATCTTTCCCTTTCTTTTCTGCAATTCTCAAAAGATTTTTGACTTAATGTTTTCCTATAAAGCCTGACTAGAACACTAACGACTGCATTGCTTTGCTTTTACCTATGTAAAGTAGTTATTAAATTTTTAGTCTCTGATTGAAATTACATCCCAATTATCCCAGAATCAAGTCTTTCAGATGCATTTAGTTTCCGTGTAAACTTCAGACTGGCACGGTTAAAATTAAAGCATTGAAGAACTAGATTAGACATTCAGAAAATCCCTCTCCCCTTTCACACTTCTCTGATAATTAACCCCAGTATTTGCCTATGGTCAAGCTTGAGATGCACTAAGCTTGAGTATAGAAATAAGCTTATTTCTAGAATATTTGGTAAGGGAGGTAGCATAAGTGAGTGGCAGAGGACGCACGTTTCAGGCGGTTAGATCTTAAAATAGTCAAACTCCTTGGTGCTGTGCTGTCCTTTAGCAGGGACAAATCTCCTCTGTTTCCTCTTCATTTAAAAAGAAATTAAATGAACGGGGAAGCAGAAGATGCAAAGCAGCCTGAGGAAATTGCTCTACTTGCTCGCTCATAAAGTGCGTTTGTGGGGCTGCAGCCAGAAACTGTCACAAGACTTTGAAGTTAATAAGGGTAACTAGTACTGCTCTTTATAGGCACAGCAGAGATTTGAAAATTAACAAGATAAAATGTACTTGTGACCTAGTCTTAAGGCCACTTCCATTGTAAACGGAGTGCAGGTGGATTGCATGAGTTACATTCACACCACCTGTGCGTTTAGGAGGACTTTCTGCTGACAGTGTCAACTTCCAGAGCCCCACTCTGCAGCCACAGCTGGATGGACCATGGGCTTTCCTTAGGGCAGGCGCTAAGGGTTACGCAGATCCCGTGTAGTGTTTGCATTTCTGTTTTATCAGCTTGAAATGATAACAGATACTCAGAAGTACTTGTAAATACATGCTGAAAATACGTTGCAAAAGCATATTGTGTATGTAATTTTATAGTAGAACAACAACCTGCTAAGGCGTTCTTGCATGCTGGGGCCTTCCTCTTCTGCATTAAAAACAAGTGCTTTTTTTGTAGGAATCATTTTTCCTAGTCCAGAACTTTTTGTTTAGGAAAAGTTCCATATTATTTTAAAGATTAGACACCATAACTACCTTTGTGATTCCAATACAGTGCAATTAGTTGATTTTTTTTGCGTGTGCATTAAACAAAATACTTGGATAATGTGCCAGATAATAATTTTGAGTAATATAATTATAAATCTTGAGAAATTCTGTATTAAACAATTCTCGAAAGAGAATTTAAAGGCCTATTTCAATCTGTAGACTTTATTTTTGGGTAAGCTGTTGAAGGGTCTTGTAGAAGTTCATGTTTTGTATTTAAAGAAAATATAGCCTATTAACTCTGAATCTATGGAATCATTTACTTAAATGCAAAATTCAGGTATTTAGTGTTGACAGCCCACTGAATATTAACTTCAGAAAGCAGATACCATTTCCCTCCTAGTAAAGGAGTGTTCTGATACTAAGCATATTTGTGATCGTTAAAAAGAGGAAAAATTCAAAATGTTTAAAGCTCCAGACTTTGCAGACAGTGCGAGCATCCACATTAAAAAAGTATAATCTCACGTTTGGTAGATTTGGTTTATTTTTGATACGCAGAAGAAAGGAGTTTACATCAATCCTACACTGAAATGGCCTTGAAATGCTATTTTCATCTACAATTTACACTATAATTGTAGCTTTATGTGATCTTTAAATCTACTAAACTTACGCAGTCAGTATCATTTTGCTTTTTAAATATGCACAAAGCAAGCTGCATTAAGCATAAATATAAAAATATGGTGGGTATTACAGGTGAACTTAGGGAACTGTAATTTTTAAATACCCTTCCCTTTTAAAACATTGCTGCAGAAAAGTAAAAGGATTAAGAGGAATAAACCTTCTTCAGCCACAAATGTTTTTTCTTCTGTTGCACGTACCCTGTCCTATCTATAGCACATGCAACACATGTACCTTCAATTACCACGTCCATCGTGACACCGGGGAAGAGTTCGTGCCTGGGCTTTTGTTACCATTAACTTTTCTCACACAGTAATGCCTTTAACCTGTTATGTCCATCATTTCTGTGCAAGACAGCTGTGCTTGAATGGAGGGTCTTCCAAATGGGAGTGAAGTGCCTCCTGCCCCCCCCGAGTGATCAAGGATGAGCTGAAGGAAGCAGCGTATCCGTTCCTCCTCCAGAGACTTTATTTTTTTCTTAATCCTTTCCCAGTGTGAGAGTGGGAGAATGGAGACATTTCTTCTGTTCCACCCGTCCACATGTCCAGCAAATATGTAATTTTGAAAAATCCTGTTTATAAATGAGAGTAAGACATTTTGGAAGAAAACAGAAGTAGTTCTCCTCTGAAGAAGGCGTATCTCTCAGACCCTCTGTCTTGTTCCTGCTTGTCAGGTCTGCAGAGGAAACATTGTCGTACTGTGTTCATGTCCTTTCCAGTGAAAACAAGTTTGGTCTGTTCTGAGTCAATAAAGAAAATCATAGACTGGACTCCGGGCTTGGATGGATAGTGGGTAGATATCCTATAACTGCTTAATCACATTCATTGGAGTGAGAAGAGGTCTAGCCAAAAGCAAACTTCATACAGGGTGTCTGCTGGTAG